AAAGACCTTTAGTCATTTGTTTGTGATACTAGAAAATAGTCTATCCCATGTGTTACATATGGCCCTTATTTTGAAAAAACACACATCTCTTGCTTAATGACTAGTTTTTTATGTTGAGTTTGTTGCTTAACAAATAGATTGTAGTGCTTGCTTGACATCACTTTTTTGCTTACTTTCTATTTGAAAGTTTAGGTGTCAACAAAAGGGAGGGATTTTGTGATTTCTCCTTAAAATGGACTAGTTGCCTTCCTCTTCAATCTTTTGTTTGAGTTGTTTGTTACATAACAAATTTACCTTTGCTTATTAATGAAAAGGTAGGACCTTATTCCTTAAAAGGATGATAATAAATTTGGAGGTTGTTAGAGATTTGAATAGATTTGGTTATGTGTCTGATTTGGTTTGGTTTTTATTTCTAGTAGATTATGGTTGTTACCAGAATGTTGTGATTATATTTTATTTTCTATATTTGGCTTGAAAAACTTGGGTGCCTACAAGGGGAGGGATTTTATGGACAATTATAGTTGTTTTCTTTGTCTTTTAATTATTTGTATTTAGCAATTTTTTTCATGGTTAGTTTGTTGTTTATGTATTGTAATTATTATCGAATTCATGTAATTATTATTCCCATGTTTTTGTACGTACTGCCTATGTTCTTTTATTCGTAGTCCTCCTTTACTTAGTCCATCCTGTCATTCTATTAAGCACTATCATCCTTCTAATTTCTCTTTACTAGTTGACATTCCATCTTTTGTTTTGGCACCTTTTTTCAAATCCTAAGAGATTTCAAAGGGTACAAATGTTCCTTTTAACAATGCGAATTTCAATAAGATTATTGAATTCTCATATTCTTATATGTCTCTTTCAACTATTTATTTTGTCTGGATGTAAAGCATCGCACCTCCTATGTGTGCTAGAAGAGTTTTGTCTTTAATAGGATGTTAATAATTATTGATTGTGAGTTTCCATGCCTAAGAGTGACTATGCTATCAAGAATTTCAGAGATTGGAAGTGTATTATAGGTTTGACCTCTGAGTTTTTTAAGTATTCTAATGTTTTGAGCACTCTTAAGCACATGTTTCTAGAGCACCTTCATCATATCTCATTATGGTGAGTCAATTGTTTTGCCTTCCAAAATAATTTAAACTCTCACCTTTACTTCATCATTTACTCTTTTCCCTTCACTCCCTTTGCTTTCCTTTCCTTCACCAAGCCCTACATGCTCAACAACTTGCCTTTACCCATCAACCTAGGAGGTTCATTAATTATTTTCCCACGCTATGTATTGATGTTTTAGAGTACCCTTTCCTTTTATCTTGGCTAGGTGAGTTTTACTTTAGCTTATAGGTCTAGTTGGTAGAGCAAGTTGGGTCTTTGCATCATTTCTAAGGGAGATCCTGTGCTTTTGGAAATACTTTTATGGTTTTAGTGTGTGAGTAAATCCTATTTTGTGTTTCCATTTAGCACCTTTATCATCACAGTCTGAGATGTTTTCCTCTTCATTAGTCTCCTAATCATCCTTTTGTCCTTAGGGATATAAAATACAATGATTTTCCTCCATTCTGTTGTTGCAAATCATCAATTTCCTACACTTTATTCCCTCATCATCAATACTTACCATCTTGGTTCTATACTTACCTTTAAGCAATTTAGTACTTACCTTGATGGAGTGTTAGTACTTGAAAAGCCTATCGATAAGGCTTCCTGAGTTATACGGAAGTTAGGCCTCCCGAGTCATTCTTCATGATTTGAAGTAATTGAGGAAAATATTATCTCTTTCATTTGCTTGTTTAGTTTTTTATGGGTTTTGTGAAACTATAATTTGTATTTTATAAAAATGGTTATGTCTTTGTGTTTTAGTATTCAATGTAAAAAAGCATGTTTGCTTTTATGAAACAAAAGATGATTTGAAATTATGATTATTGAAAATGTTGCTAATGTTGAATTGTGATAGATAAATGTGAGTTTATGAATGGTGAATTTAACTTATGAAATTGAGCTGATTAGCTTAGTGGTGCTAATGTTGCCTACTTCTTCACTTAGTAGGAGAGGTTATGGGATTAAACCCTAAGAGTGTATCTGTTACACTTGGGGGTAAACTCTGAAAAGAGGGAGGGCAAACAAGTATCTTCCAATCATATCGATATTTAAGTGATTGTTTGCTAATAAAAAGGATACAAAAAATTTGAGATGACATATAGATGAGAGAATTTCTAATGGAAATCTTTGACATCTAATTGATTTGGAACAATGTAAGAAAATTGGTACATTATTTCCCAAGTTTAGTAAAGATCCAAGGAACCTTAAGCTTGGCCTTAGTATGGATGATATGAATTCTTATGACGGCTTTAGCAACATAAACAGTTCATAGCCTATTCCATTAGTGATTTATAACTTATCTCCAATATTGTCCATGCAATGCAAGTATACCATATTATTTGTGATCATTTTAAGAATGAAACAACCAAGGAATGACATTGACAAGTAGGAGAGTAGGTCTCTGGGGTATTTGACTTCTTCTGTGAGCTCGTCATTATTACCTTTTCCTCTATTATCTTTTACAATCTAGTTTTAAGGCATTAGCCACTACCCTTAATTTCAAAATATATTTTTTAGCCCCCTAACTCAAACATCGATAGAATCATTAACTAAAAAAATTGAAATTAAACTTCTAAATATTGACATGTTGAATTTAATTTTTTTAAATAACAATGATTGGCACAAAAAGATCATCTTTGGAGACCAAGTGTTAGGATCAAAGACTAAAAAAATATTTTATAAAATTTAAAAATAAAACCAAAGCCTTACATAAAATTACAAGATATCTAATATGCACTCTTGCCTTATATATATATATATTTAAAAGTTAAAAATTTTTTACTGTAACATCTCAAAAATTATCCTCTTGATTAATTAAGCTAATAAAGGGTAAATTTATAAATTTAAATATAAATGAATTTGAGAATAGTTAGAGATAGCCATTGAGTTTGCTTTTAGCTTTTGGATTGGGTTTGAAGTGAATTAGGTCTCTTGGAGTCAAATTGTAAAAAAAAAAAAAATTGAATTTTTAGCCCACTGTGCATTATATTGCAACATAAAAATTTATGCTGTAGCGTAATTTTCAAAACTAATTTTCTTTAAAAACACAAACATTTAAAACAAAGAGAAATGGACCAAAAATAGAAGGAGGAGTGATAAAGAGAGTTTTTTCTCTGCTAGGGCATCAATTTTTAGGCATTTTGGAGGTGATTAGAACTTGATTTCATTGAAGTATGTCTTCCTTATCCCTTCTTCTCCTTACAAGTTTTGAAAGTAAGATTTAAGGTTAGGAGATGATAATTTCTGAACTTAGAGTTATGGGTCCGAACCCATTCATCTAAGTAAGACTAATATAGCTGTTTGAGTGATCTAAGCCTAGATATAATGGTCTTATGCATCCATCAGAGTGGACTCTCAATTATGAACGAATTTATACATTTAAATGCCATTAATGATAAAAGTTAGGATTGTTGAAAGCCACTATTAGCAGTAGATAGGTTTAATAAAGTTAGTTAAAGCTAATAGGAGTTAATAAATTTAATGTAGTGATTAAACTCATGAGTTGAGAGTGGTTGAAATTTGAGAGTTGAAAGTGAGTAAGTTATGACATTAATGATTATTTTAGGTTGTTAAATGATATATTAGTAATTATGTAAGTTGTTGAAAGCTAAATAAAGGAGTTAAGAAACACATTAGATGTGAGATTAATCTTATAGTTGAGAAATTTGATTATTAAATTATGAAATTAGATATTAAAAATAGTGATTTTAATGATTATAGTGATAGGTCGTTAATGTACTTGTAGACTAATCTCACAAAGCATCGGTGAATTTGAATTTAGCTCAAAAAGCAAGTTGTAATTAAGGGTTATCCTTTGACCTATTAAAGGTTTTGAAGTAATCAGGGAAAAATCTTATTTGTATAGTTGTATGTTAATTATTTATTAGTTGAACTAATTTATTTGAAAGTTTATTTGGGTGGTCGAGAACCCATGGATGTAATGTTAGCAACATGATGAAATTATGTAAGGGAGATTGTATTGAATTGTTGAGAATATTACATATATATTCATGTGATTATTGATAAATGAAGCATGTAATTGTAAAATCGATGAACATGTGACATTTGATACGTGGAGTATGATGAATTTGATCGTGTTATGTGGATTATAATAGAGAAAGAGAATTATGTGAGCATGATATTATGTGATTATTGTTGTTTGAATGTTGTACATCTTGTTATTTGTGTATGGCATGATCAATATAGTGAGAGTTTGCCTATAGGGAGGAGTAGATTGGTAAACCCACATAGTAATAGTGGCTTATCATTGGAATCAGAAGCTTGTCTTGGTACTAACCATTCGAATCGGGAGGTGCGTGTTGTCTCATAGTTGATTCGGAACTATCCTACTTCTTCTTTGAAAGACTCAAACATAACTAGTCTATACTAATTCATAAAGAGGCTAAATTAGGGGTATAACACTACATGGCTATTAGTATTAGAGGAAACCACATAATACAAGTGAGTGAGTTAATTATGGTTCAGTAGCTCCTCATGAATGGAAGGCTTGGTTAGTCTAAGTTTTAGATGTAGCCTTTGAATAGCCATTGGTTTTATGTTAAAGGTATTAGGAGGGTATAAGATTGTTATTGACCATGCGAACCTACTTCCAGCCACATGGTTATTATTATGATGGTTTGATGTGTTTTTATTAGCGGTGCATGGTTGTTACTATTATGACTTAAGATATGCATTTTTGAAATAAATGTGATGATATGCACTAATGCCAAGTCATATAGTTATTAGTTTTATGACTGATGCTATAATTATAAAATATGTATGTGGTACTTGTGAAGTTATTTAATTGTCATTTACATCTATAATTAATTAACATACAATTGATAGGCTAGATTGACCTTGATTACTAAGTGATTGTATTCACTCCTCTATTTAACATTTCACAGGCGCTAGTTCTAGTCAAGACAAGGGAAAGCATATGAGGTTTAGGAATTAAATTTCCTACTACTATAATGCCTCAATTACTCTTAGTTAATATGTAATTGCCCTGATATTTTCAACTAAGATGTTCATATTTTGTTGTACTTGCACCATTAAATATTGAGTATTAAAATGTGCATTTTGGATCCTAGTGCGTGTGGTATCTTTTTAGTTGAGATATTTGTACAAGGCCAAAATACTTGTGCAAGTAAGGAGTGAGTATATTTGTGAATGATGGTGATTTAGATGTATAATTATATATTTTGGGTCCCCTTTATGTCTTTATGATCAAAAGGGTTGAGCGATAAAAATGTGATATAGGTATTATTGGAATGTTGTGATGTATTGCACAAGTTCGATATAGTCCATTGAGTGTGGTCTAAGAGTTAATGTGGGCTTTTAGCAGTTGGATTGAGTTTTGGACACTTTAGTTATGTTTTGAAAGCATAAAAGAGTAAGTTTTCTTTTTAATGTCCAACTTTTGATTGAGAAATGATTTGAATGTGAAACTAATGCATTAGCTAGACTCAAAAAAAGCTTTCTATAGACACTTAAATCACATCAATTGGACGTCGAACAAAGACTTGGTACACATTGGAAGTTCGGTCAAGAAATCTACCTCTTGGCTTCTGTAGTTTATGCTACAATGTTTTTTTGCCAGAATCTTGTTTTTACTCTTTTAACCCCAATCTAATGTTATTTTACCTTATATGATGTCCTTGCTTCTTTATACATGTTTTGCTCTAATTTTATTTTTTAAAATGATTTTATATGATTTCAAGCATTATAAGTTTTGAAAATATGGGATTCCATTTATAAAAATTTTACAAATTTGACAATTTATTTGGGTTATTCTTGTGATTATCTTGATTTTGGAGATTAATTGTGAATTAGTAAGAAAGACTTTATATTTACTATCATAAAGCTACAAATTACAAATATACATACATAATATGTGTAAATATTTATGTGTGTGTGTGTGTAGGAGAATTATATATAGGCCCTCAAAACGAAGAAATTTATTGTTAAGGCCTAATGCATTTTGAAAATACACAACAACTCAAGGTCCTTTAATATAATAAAATTTTAAGTATCAATTACTAAAATGCCCTTGCTATTTATTTTAAAAGTATCCTTGTCACTAGTTTCCATGGCTCCAGCAGGAGGCTACCACTACTGATGGCTAAATTACCATTTATAGGCCACCAAAGCTCTATTGCACAATGATCAAACATTGGCCAAATGTGCTAAGGGGTTAAGGGATTAATTGAACCCTTGACCCCTCAATTTTTCAAAGTAAAAGAAACCATTAAGCCAACAAGGACTTTGATACATAAAGTGAATATATATATATATATATATATTATAAATTTAACTTTCAAGCATTTTCATCTATTATTCCATATTCTAGATATTTTATTTATATCTGAATAATAATTTATAAACATTTGAATATGACTTGTTAATTAACCAAAAAAGTTATTATTTTTTAAAGCCCAACTTATTCTATTTTTAAAACTTGGTTTTTTTCAATATTGACAAGTTATGAATATTATGCTAAACAAAAAATATATATGTTATAAATTTATTTGTCAAGCATTTTCATGGGCTTTTGATAATCATGGAGATTTTGTTGTTAACATCCAAACAATTACATGTAACTAATTATACCATGATTTGTTAATACATAAAGTGTTAATTTTAAAGGTAAAACTTGTTTGATTTTTTACAAATCATTTCCTAAATATATCTATTATAAATTTGTTCTATTCAAATATGAACAAGCCATATTTGAATATTTATAGGTGATTGTTTAGATATTAATAACAAGATGTCTATGATCAACAAAAGCCCATGAAATGCATGGGAAATAAATTTATAACATATATATTTTTATTTAGCATAATATTAATAACTTGTCAACATTGAAGGAACAAATTGTAAATAAAAATAGAATAAGTTGGATTTTAAAAAATAGATAACTTTTTTATGTATGAATAAGTTATGTACAAATATTTATAAATGATCATTTGGACATAATAACAATAACATTTCCTAAATTTTCAAAAGCAAATGAAAATGTTTGGAAGTCAAAGTTATAATATATATATATATATATATATATTCATAATTTACATGTTAAAGTGTTTGTTGGCTTAATGGTTTTCTTTATTTTGAGAAACTAAGGGGTAAAGGGTTCAAATCCACCCTTAACCAGTTCACCTTTGTTTGACCACGATACTAGAGCTTTAAGGGTTGGTGACAGTGTTCCTACCACCAATAATGGCAACCTCCTACCAACAACAAAGCTCTGGTGGCTAGCATAATGGCTCCAACTATCAATGATTAGGATACTTTTTTTTCTTAAAAAAAAAAGATTAGGGTATCTTGGTAATCAATACCTAAAATTTTATTACTTTGAAGGATCTTAGGCCTGCAATATATTTTTAGATTGCATTAGGACCTAACAATTAATAAGTTCATTTTGATGGTCCTTAGTAAAATTCTCCCTTATATTTATTAGGTTATCATAACATAATTACACACCACAAAGTCAATAATTATGTTTTGTTAATGAACCTTGTAGTATTTAACCAAGTTGTAAAGTACTTGGGTGTAATTTTTTTTATTTATATTGTAAAGAAAATTTAATATTGCTTCCCACCTCCAAAGTTCAATTAAAGTGATTCTTAAGATCTACTCATTTGATCCTATTTATAAGTTACTTTTAATATATTTTATTAAAAAAAAAAAAAATCTTAAAACTCATTAGCCCTTTCTGAAGATTTAATATGTTTTCAAATTTGTCTCTATTAAATATACATACGTTAATAATATTTTTTCTCTCTCCAACATTTAATAGAGAGCAAAAAGGAAAATTAATGATAAAAATTTAATGACATGACTTATAAATATGATTAAAAAAAATTTTCACTATCTATCCTACAAATAGGACTAGAGAGAATAATTGAATGGAAAAAGAAAAATACATAGAATGATAAGTTCCTTAACTCAAGTGATAGTGAGAGGCACCTTGAAAATTGAAATCTTGTCTATCCTTCAATTTACAACAAGAACCCTAAGGTATCCTTACTCTCTTCATTTTTGCCTCTATTCTTCTCATTCTTTTTCAATTGCTATGGAACATCCTAAATTTCATGTAGGGATCTCATTATGAAAGTTGTGAATAATTGGGGGAATTCAACTTGAGGAATTATTTTAAAAGAGGAAATATGGGTGCCTAAGGATTTAATTAAGGAAATGTATTAGTCTAAGGATTTAATTGAATAATCATGTATTTTGAGGACTTGATAGAGGATTTAGGTTTGTGGATGTTAATCAATTATTTAGGCTTTTAATTATGATTTAAATTGTGTGTAAGATCATCTTCTATAGGGTTTATTTGTGGTTCACAATAGGTATTGGACTGACTTGGGTACAAATTATTGAGCTTAAGTGAGTTTTTTCAACATTATGGCATATGCCACAGCATGTGCATGTATGCCATGGCATACAACACATTTTCAATACTTATTGTTTTAGCTCAAAAATCAAACAAAAAGGAGGAGACTTGAGTGAGGTTAGGTGCAAAAATTCATTGCTTTGCTTGGGTTTAGTTAAGAGCCATTATTTTGCATGGACTTGAGCATAAAAAAACCCTAAGGTAATCATCCTAACCTCTTCTCTAACTTCCTCTCTTTATTTTTAATTTAGATATCCTCATAGGTGTTGTTAGGATTTTGTTTTTGGTGCTATCCAGCCCTTAGGTTCAAATTTTATGTTGTTTTGAGGATAAATAAGTGTAATTTAAGTTGTTTTAATGTGTTTGAGGCAATGGGATACATCAATCTAAAAACCCTACACTAAGAGGATGATGTTTTATGATAATTTGAGTGTTTAGAAGTTAAATTTGTGATTGAGAGGTATATTAAAGTTGAAGAGGACTAATATGATGATTTAAGTGTATGGGAAGCATTTGGGTTAATTAGGTTAATTAATATAGCCTTAGGATTACAGTGTGATTATTATGTAGACACTTTGATTAGCTATATTAGTATTGTATTAACAATAATTAGTGTCACCATATTTGTAGATCATGATATATTGATACCACTGGAGGTAATAGTCCACTTGTTCAAGGAGCTCTATTAGCAAGGACTAAAGGTTATCATTTTTATTGTGTGATGGGGGGATGTGTGTGTGATTGATTATGTGTGACTTTATTATGCTAGATAAATTATGTTATGTGTGGGAAAAAATATATTCTTGTGTGGAAAATTAATTGTCAAGTAGAGTGAATCGTATATGAGCACTATATTTCGTATAACTATTGTGCAAAAGCACGTTTTTTTCTAGAAATGTTTTGTGAGGAAATGATTGAAATACACATGATTTGTTAGGTTTGCATTGAAATATGTGATGTTAGGAATTTTGTCCAAAGATTACAACCACATGGTAAGCCCTCATTGGATCGAATGAATGGCTAGTAGCTTAAACTAATTCCCATTTAGTCAGGTGACTTGGTTCTAAGCAAGGTTCATGGAAGGATATAAGGTACAGTCTTGCAAATTATTTTTATCCAGTTTGTTTGGATGACAAATGTTTGGAAAATAATCTTGTATGTGATACAGGCAATCGAACGATAGCTGTAACATCCTGATTTTTACATAATAAAGATATTGTGGAATTTAGGTTTTATTGAGGATAAAAAATGATAATTATAGGAATTTATATTATTTGAGGTTATTTAGAAATAATATTATAGTTAAAAATTTAAATTTAAAATCACATAAGTAATATTTAGTTAAGATATAATTTTAAGATTTAGAATATATAAATAATTTTTTTATGTGTGTGTTAAAAAAAAAAGAAGGTAGAAGGAACAAAAAAAAGGGGGGGTGGAAGGTTGTTGTTTCTAAGTCCCACATTGGTTAGATGTGGGAAGAGAGGAGGTGCCTTCATGTATAAAAAGGAGGGGCTATGTGCATTAGGAAGCATGAAGGGCTAAGATGCAATTTGGAGGAAATTGCAACTTTTGGCCCAAGAGTTTGAATAATTAAATTCAAACCTATAGTTTTTTTTAATATAATTGTGGGACCTAAAATCTCATTTTTATATTATTTTTATCTCTTCCTCTCACGTTGCTCACGTTTTCTGCGCAAGGGGGGGTCTGTTTTCTTTTTCTTCAGGTATGCTCTAACTTTCCTGTTTAAA